CAGAAATTAAGAAGCATAAAGTGCAAATAAAATAGAATCTGCAAAATATTCCATATATATTACGTAAAAAATTTGATGAGGATGAAATATAATAAAAAATATTAATATAATAATAACATGCACAATAAAAAGAAAAGAAAGCCGTTGAAAAAAATAAAGAATGGTCGACTACCACCTATGATCTAATTAATGGAGAGAGTTATTCGGAGACTTTGGAGTATATGTCTACTAGTTAAATATGTTAAGTTATATGAAATGACATAATAGGCCTGTACGTGTAATCATAAAACTTTCAAAACAGTACGTTTAATGGTGTCTATTTATTCTCATTTCTCTCCTAAGATGATTTTATCACTTGAACACACACACACACACACACACACACACACACATATATATATATATATATGTATATAGGATCGATCAAGTGAGAAAGACATCTTAGGAGAGAAATAAGAATAAGAGAGATTTACCTAAATAGGACTAAAACTTATGAAAAATTCCATTATAGGACTACTAGTTTTATCTGAAGTGGCGTAGGACTAAAATAACAGCGGAATGCCGAATTTACCCTGCGCCTCTCTTCTTCCGGTTCGCCACTTGCGAGCCCTGCTGCGATCTCAAGCCCTGCTGCAGTTTTCCCAGGTAAGTTCTTAATCTCAAGCTACTTGTTATTCTTCTTCTTCTTTTTCTTCTTCCTCTTCCTCCTCCTCCTCTTCTTCTTCTTCTTCTTCTTCTTCTTCTCTTCTTTTCTCCTCTTCTCTTCTTTTCTCCTCTATTTTTCTCCCACTCGTACTCTGCTTCATTTTTTATTTTGATTTTTGAATTTTCAGTCCACTTTCTTACTTTTGGGATTCTAAAAAATTGTTTAAGATTAGAAAATTTTGGATGAGAAATCAAAACGAAGCCGCAACAATTTTCTAGCTAGTACCTTCAAATTTGTAGTCCTATGTTCTCTTCTTCTTTGCATTTTTTGGATTTGAATTTTATTTATTCAGCAAAATGTCACTTTTATTGGTTATTTGAAAAAACATACATGTTTGTGACAGTATATTTATCAGAATGACAATCTGAAAATGTCATATGTCCATAAGAAAATGTCATTCTTATGGCATTCTATGACATTTTTATGACTTATCTGAGAATGACATAACTACTTGTTATTAGAAATGACATGTTTTCTGACATGTTTTCCAAATGATGTCAGTTTTGATGTCATTCATGACATTTTGAGAGCAAACACAGCATTTTAAAAAAACAGAGCAAGAAGAAGAAGAAAATCCATGGAGGAGACAAAGAGAAAGAGAAGAAGAAATCAAAGGAGGAAGAGCTGAATTTCTGAAATTGGTGGAGTATCTAATAAACAAATTGAATGGAGATGGAGGAAGCAAACAAGATCAAACCTGGAGTGCTTTGAGAAATAGCAGGAGAAGAAGATTGAACTTGGAGACTATTTAGCAGAAGAACGGATAGTGCAAGAGAAGAGAAGAATGAATGGCGCAGGAGAAGAAGATCGATGATGTTGGAGGCGGTGTCTACGAGCAGGAGAGCTATCAGAAAAGCAAGGGCAATTTGGACATTGATGAAATGGCGGAAACTTAAACTAGGAGCAGATGACTCCTATAATGGGAAAAAAAGATGTTATGTCCTACTTTGACTTTTTATCTATGTTTTAGTCCTATTTTGGGCAATTTTTTAAAGAATAAATACTATCCATTGGATCTCATCCTATTTCATTCGTGTGATTTATGCTTCTGTAGGGTATTTATGACTTTTTAATTTTGATTACCTTTCACGTTTCCTTCCTTAATTGTTTTTTAACAATTTGTTTCCTTATCAATTTCTTTCTCATGCTATGTTTGTTCTGTTTTTATACGGGTTATTCCTTATCCATCCAAGGTATTTTCTAGATACGGGTTATATTGAGTAACGAATTCAACTTTTTTTAATTAACTTAGCTACCTATGGATATGCTATCTTATATGCTATCTTATGGGTTTCACATCACTTTTTCATTTTTTGATTTTTTTTATTTGTATATAGAAGTTTTTACTGAATTAAAAAACTTATTACTTTACTTGCACTCAGTTGCTTATTATGATGCACTAAACTATTTTATGTAATGCACATTTTGTTTTACAATATTATTTTTGGATGTGTTTATATTTTTAACCATTTCGTTTACTTGCACTAAAATAGAAATTCTTACTTTCAATTTTTTATCCAATATTTGATTTCTTTTATGTCGTGTTATTTAGTTTCTGTATGCTATGATATTCCTTTTTAACTCGCCACAAGTGCACTCACACAGATTATTTAATACACTGTCGGTTTACTATTATATTCTATAATTTTTTATGCACTCACACAGTTATGTTTGTTTCACTTTGTCATTATTATGATTGCACTAGAATGGATGGAGCAAGAAAGAAAGAAAAATGCATTTCATTTTGTGAAAAGTGTATATATAAAAGTTTATAAGGCGCAATACTGTAGTGCTAGTGCACTTTTGTGTATGTAATATGCACATTATTACAATGTATTTCATTTTGTAAAAAAGGATTAATTTAGAAGTTTATTATAAAGCATGATATTATAGTGTACGTTGTTTTCTATATATCTATTTTGCACGTGTTAGTTGTTCATCCACCCCTTATATATTTATTTTCACTTATTTTAAATCATTATGATTAAAAATGTATGGAAGTGCAGACATGCATGTCTAAAGTGCAATATAATCTCTAGAAAGTGCAAGTTAAATGGTGTCTATTATTTAAATGACTATATGTTAAAAATTCAAATATTAACTAAATTGATATAACTTGTGCATAGTGTTTTTAATAAAAGTGCATGTAAACAAAGTTGTAGTGCAAAACTTTTGACCGAATGATATTTAACACTTATAAGGATATACTTAATTTGAAATAAAATTACATAGGTGCCCCTAATGTATTAACGTATTGCAAAATTTATTGAGCTCCATTACTAATCCTCTCGATTTTCGGAATTTTAGTTCTTAATTGAATTGTAAAAATTGGCCATCGCATTATTCTCTCCCGAGATTCCTTTGTCATCGGAACCACTCCCTATATACTCCCTCCGTCCCCTTTTAAATGTTTCGGAAGAGGGTGACACGAGTTTTAAGAAAAGTAGGTTTGTGTGGTTGATATTAATAGATAAAGTAAGAATAAAGTAAGAATGATTTTGAGCCACACAAATTTTACCAAATAAGGTATGAGACAATTAAATAGGGACATCCCAATATGGTAAAGTGGGACATTTAAAAGGAGACGGAGGGAGTATATATTTATAGGGAAGAGTTCAAATAAAAAAAGATGCTCCTGTCCCGTGCAAAGTGCGAACGATTGAACTTTTCTCACACCGTGTTGCACTTTTGTATGCTTCTGTTGCACTTTTTCGCGGTGGAAAAAAACTTTGGTTTATTTACAAAACTGCCACCGCGTTTTTGATCAATTTTGGTGCATTTTTAGCTCATTTTGAGCCATTAGATGTAAAAATGAATGCACAAAATTCATTCTAACTTTGTATGGAAATACCTCTTTATATATAAACAACAAAGCTTGCCAGTCGGCTCGCGAGTTACAAACCTAAAATAAATAGACTTTAATTAGACTCGTTCAATACTCGAGCCGAACCGAACTCGAATCGAGATTGAATATGATCGCACTCAAGTCAAGTTTTTACCGAGCTAGTAGCTAACCTCTCGGACTCATTTACACCCCCTATGCGAAGTCAATTTTGCTTTGGGTACACACTTATCATACACACACATACACACTATAAATAGCCTAAAAATTACTATTTTTTTTTACCCCCTCTCCTACCACACGTGCAAAACAGAGTCTGCAAAACAACCCCACCCTCCCTCCTCCCTTCACGCTTCTTGCTTTCTTTCTTCTCCCCGCAACAGCACCCAACAACAAACGAGAATGGATTTTGGTGGTATTGTGAACGAAACCATCATTGATACTACCGTGGACGACTTTTGGGCCGATTGGGATCAAACGATCGGTGGTTCTCGAGTTGAAGGACAAATTCCGGTGGCGGCGGAAGTTGATGGCGACTCGGCGGCAGCCGCCATGGACGACGTCCCTGAGCTTGGTATGAGTTCGTTTTGATTTCATTTGCTTTAAAGTAAATATATATGTGTTTGTTCTTCACAGACAATTGACTGTATTTGTGTAGTGTTTATGTGAATTGTATAATATGTCTGTGTGTATGTTTCAGTTGTCTGAGTGTTATTATACAACTGTGAAGTGTATTGACTTTTGTCTGTGTAAATAAAGTTTTAAATTTACTTATGTCTGTGAGTACATGTACTTCTGTTTGAAATGTATGTGTGTAAATATAATTGTGTCTGTGTGTATATATACTTCTGTCTGTGCGTAAATAGACCACTGCCTATGTGCTTAAATATACTTATGTCTGTGCATGTTGGTCAGATGGAGAAATTCAGCAAAATGAGAGTGGCGTTGGTTCTATTTGAGAGTGCTTAAATATGAACAACAATGACAGTTAGTGTTTAACACAGAACAAAAAAGCATACCAATGTACAACATTGGTAATATTTGGGAGTACATTCTAGGACATTGTACAACATTGGTATTGTAATATTGTACAACCTCCTACATTTCACAACCAAACCCATGCAGGCCAAAACTAAATAGTAAGGTTACATCAAAGATTTTACATCCACAACCATCATAAACTAAAATATTCACACCCATTAAAACAAGTCTACTTTGATCGCTTCCTCAAACTCCAGAGCCTCAATGCATATTCACATCTTTTCGCTGCCATGTTCTCATACGCACACTCTGGCATCAAGGGCAACTTCTGCAACAGTGCCTCCGCAAACGCTGCTACCATAACTTCGCAAACACCGGATCTGAAAATAATACAATTCATACAGACATTACATTTCTATGCACAGACAAATTGTATTTGTGTACAGACATGAGTGTACCCTGAGTGTTGTTGTGGAACATCATCCACTGCCTCCGCTCTCCAAGGATGTGAATGGGCTATGGAGGTAACGACAGGGTTGCATTTGATGACCCGAAACAGGAGTGGAAGTTGGATACACAAAAGCCTCACAGATGCAACCGACCTACTCGTCTTCAAAGAATCGTATACCCGTACGACGTTATTGAGTAGGTCAATTTCAGACAGCACCCAATGTTTTCCATCAGTGTGCACAGGCATGAACACCTGCATTAAAGTAAATAAAGTAGTTATTAATCAAACTAACTTTTTCATATGTATTATTCAAACCAACCTTTTCATATCGACTCCAATCCATTTTCTTCAGTAATCGGTCCCCCTTCCATTGTTTGTCATCTGCTGCATCCTTCTGTAAAATTTGGTACTGGACCAAAAACAAAAGTACAGACAACAATAGTGTGAAAGCACAAACATTAATGTATCAACGCACAGACAAAACGTATCAAAACCACATACATAATATAAAGTTTTAATGAATTACCGCAAACAAAGGGCTCATGAGTTCATAGGCCGCAGTCTCTATGGATTTGCGGAACAGAAGAACTAGAGCATCCAAATGCTTCAAACGCAAAAATAAATCCACAATCAAAGCATTCAACTAAAATAGTGTAAAATGAAATACTTCTTATTATGACTCACCTCGCTACTTAGCCATTCATTTTCATCCATTAGCTCTCGGAAGAATGTCCTATTTGTCGGGTAAGATGATGGAATATCTAGGTGAAGTACGGTAGGTTCAATACCATCAATTTCCTCCACCCATGCCTTGAAAGAGTCATACTCACCATCACGTCCTCCAACCTTAAGCCTCTTAGCCACCGGCGCAATGAATGGACTACAAATGTACTTAGATTTGAACCGCTTTCTCTTCCTCAATTCTTTCATACTCACCTCTTCAATGGCCTTCATGTCTACCCCAGCAGTTCCAACATCATCACCAACCACATCCCAATCCAAGTTTTCGAATGGAACTGTCAAAGCAGGGATCTTGTCATCTTCTACCTACACATTTATAATTTGCATGTGTACTTCATGTGTACTGTCTGTGTGAACTATGAACTATCTGTGTAAATGAAAACATTTTGGAAATCGCAATGTGCACCTCTTTTAAGCACATCAAAAGATTTGTGGGAGTGTGACACTCCTCATACATGTGGCATGTCATACTTTGCTTAGATTCCAACTTCAACTTTGAAATGAAGGTAAACCTCATTGAGGAATGATTAATGCAAAATCTTTCTTAACCAACAACAATGTAAATATCACAAGCAGTATGACTGTATCCTTAAACATACCTCGTCCACTACAATCTTTACTGGATCTATTTCCACAGCAATAGAATTCTCCCCTTCAGGCTAAGCATTTACACACATCACAGACATATAACATTTACACACAAACAACAAAACATATAAATATAAAGTGATATCCAGTGATCCATGAAAGTATGTATTAGCAATCTCTCCTGGTTCTTCCTCTTCTTCGGCTTGTTCATCATCGTTGTCACTATCTTCAGCCACAACAGGCCTCGGGGCTGCCACAGGTAATCCGGTTATGCGGCAGAAGTCGTTGTACGTGAACTCTATAAGTTTACCCTCAACATTGAACCAAAGCTCATCATCGGGTTGCTGCTTCACCAGCCGTAACAACAACATGTGGACTATTTGGCCACAAAACTGGATATCAGGAATATCAATAAAGTGACCCCATGGTGTATGCCGGAAAATTTGCAATTGTTTCTTAGATAGTATCGCATGAATGTACTTAGAAGCACATTTCACATCCGAGCACACAGAATACTGTGCAGGGAAATGCTTGCTCAAAGGAATCTGAAGTTGAAGTGCCCTATCATTGTAAGAAAATAAACCATAACTACACAGACATATGTCAAATTACACAGACAAGCTTTCAGTTACATACAGACAAACAATCACGCACATAGACATATGTTTTATTTGCACCTGCTTTTGTCTTATAGCATTGTGTAGCAGTACAGACATCATATTAGTCACACAAACATATCAAAGAGTAATACAGACAATCATATAAGTCTTCACAGACAAATAGAGGCAGGGCCAATTACATATACGCTCACACAGACAAGCACTTAGACAAATCTATCTTCATATAAGTCTTCAGAGACAAATAAAGGATACATACCTTTCGGCCATGGTTGATAGCGGGGTTCGCACCATTTTCGACGGAGACCGGAAGGAGCGTTCGCAGCGAATGCGCAGCGACAACAGTCTTAGACTGTGGTTGACGGGGTTAGCGGGGTGGAGGGTTTCCTTCGACGGAGGGTTACAGGGGAGAAGGAGACTGGTCTTCGACTGGGGTTGACGAGGTTAGCGGGGAAGAGGGTTTCGAACGTCGGGGGGGGTTACAGGGGAGAAAGCTGGTCTTCGTCGGGGGGGGGTTACAGGGGAGAAAGCTGGTCTTCGTCGGGGGATTAATCGGAAGAAACAGAGCAAGGGAGAGGGGAAGCAACGGAGAAGGTGGGGATGCGGGAAAAATTTGGAGCGGGTGTTTTTTTGAAGTGTTTTGAAATTGGTTGAGGGAAAGGGGGGTAAATTATTTTTGGGGTATTTATAGTGTGTATGTGTGTGTATAGAAAGTGTGTAACAATAGACTTTTTGATGCTAAGTATAGGGAGCAACGGATGACGTGTAGTCCATCACAACACAGATCGGCAAATGCTTTACGTGTTAAATCCCCATTGGAAGATACTGAACAAAAGCCGGCCCAGTGACGTGGCTGTGGAGGTCTCTCCACCATTTTTGGTGAGGCAATCCTGTTAGAGCGCCACAGGAAGGTAACAGGGTTCCGTTTGGAAAATGGAGAAAGCATTATTGATTTCCATTGCGATTGTATTAGCCTCCGTCCGGCCCTTCGTCTATTCCATCGAATATAAATGCTCCGCGTGCACTGCCATTGCCGTGAGTATCCATCCTATCGTTTCTGGACTCTTCCGCCCGAAGCTCACACTGTGTTTATTATTGCTAATTTGAGCGAATATTAGTATGAAAGTGGTCCCTTTGATTATTGTGCTGGTAGCCTGTTACTAACTTATGACTTTATGAGCATAGGATGTGAAGCTCTCACAGAAGAAGAATTACTGAAATTTTGCATTATTTTGTTTGTTTATTTATTTAAATTTATATTTGAATGTATGGATTTTTGAAAGACAGTGTTTCTATCTTAGCAATTCTGAGTGTTTGTTATCCTGAATGGCAGGAGGAGCTGGAGCGTGGTTTGATGAATGTAAGGATTCCATAAAGCCTTTTGTCATCACTTCTTGAATCTAACTGCTTTATGTGTCACTCATTGCATATGATAGGTCTACTTTTTAGTACACTCTTAAATTAAATCAAAATGGTTATGTAAGAGATGGATGGACTTAAGTTGGAGTCCATGCTTAAGAGTTAAGAGCTTACCATTTTGAATACAATTGGGCTGTTGAGCAGATCTAGGGAGTTCTTAGTTTTACAACTTTGTGGGAAGAAGAGCTTTTCGTATTATAACATTATTATAAGGGGGTCTTTACCATCTGTATTAGAATGTAAGTGCAACCCTGAATTGTACTCAGGGCGGATTTTCTATCTCGGTCTTTTCTCAGTCTTTGAGTTTATTCCCACAAATTCCTTGACATAAACTCAGTTGGCTTGAATTAAGATATCTATGATAGGGTTAAGAAAAGGTAAATCTTGTGCTAATTAATGGCCTCTTGATCGATAGTTGTCTTGTACTGTATTTCAATTTGCCACATTATGTTGTGTGCTATATATAAATAGTCCTCCAATTACTTGATTTCACCAAACAGGAGAAGCCTAGAAATCATTTAGATATGAGATATCGCTTAGACTCTAAAGGCCAACGTGATGGCAAGCTTATAGATTACAGGTATATTGTCATATTACTATTTTTTATTTATTTCTATTGATTGATTTTTACTATTCATCCCTCTAGTGGCACTCTTCTTATACTGCTGCTGATCATGCCAACTTTATATCTCAACTGTTATTTTACTTGTTTTCATAACATGGGTAAGACAATTGGATTATAAGCATAGCCATGTGCTTTCATACTTGGATTAAAAGTGAGGTTTTCATTCCGCAGATAGATTGTTTTGTAATATTCATCTTGACCATATCTGTGTATGTTTCTTGAGGTTATTTATCCGATTCTAAATAAGTGGTGAATTTGTATGAAATCCTTTGAGAAATCCTGAGTAACTGATTTCTTGGCAATTTTATCAGGGTTAGTGACCTGAGAGTTGTCGAACTATTGGACGAGCTATGCGAAAAGATGCAAGATTATACTCTTGAGCAGGTATTCTTTATCTTTGAATGGGTTTTCTTATGCTTATTCACATATCTTCGTAAATGCTAATGCGGATGTCTCCTAGGCCTATCTCTGTTCCTGAACCACAACCAAACTGGCAGTTCGTGCCTCCAAATTTTTGGGAACTGGAACTGGAACCGCATAGTACTGGTTCCAAAACCCACGGTTCTTGTATGGTTTTCCAATTCTTATTTATTTATTTATTTATTTATTTATTTATTTATTTATTTATTTATTTTATAATATAGTTAATATTTTCCCTACCGTAGGTGGGAGCCATTGCGGCACCGGGGTAATGTTGTTGTTGTTGTTATATATAGTTAATATTTTGTAAATTAGAATAAGTAATACTAGTACGTAGTAAAAACTAGCACTATTCAAATATAAGAGTTCCAGACTTCCAGTGTTCTTTACGACAACTATTATTATTATTATTATTTTTATAAGTAATTATTATAATACGTAATTAATAACTAATAGTATCTCTGTCCCCCTAACATTGGTAAAAGAGAAGGTGGTGCAGTTATCAAGAAATGTGAGTTTATGTGGTTGATATTAAATTGATTTAGAACCACACAAATGTTACCAATTTTTTGGAACAAACCAAAAATGAAAGATCAAAGATGGGACAATCTTAGTGGGAAAGTAAAAAGTTAGTGGAGTCCAATTTAGGAAAGTGATCATATTTTTGAGACAACCCAAAAAGGAAAGTGTATCTTACAAAAAGGGACAAAGGGAGTAATTATTATAAAAACTATTACTGCTACTATTGCTATTGTAAGTACTGCTACTATTATCATTACTACTACTATTGATTTTTTACTAATGGCTTCAAACTGGAACTGCCCGGTTCTGAAATACGAATCGGCATTCCTGGTTCCAAAATTTGGAAGAACCAAACCGTGTTAGTAAACCTTTAGCTCCAAACAGGAGCTACTACGTGGTTCCGGTTAAAAAATCTAATGTAAACCGCGGACGCCCCTAATCTCTCATGTCTGGCAGGTTGATTCAGGCACAAAACTGTGGATCAAAGTGAAAAACTGGGATCATCAAACTAGTAAGTATCAAATTGTTTATGATCTTGATCTCTTCTGACATTGGCTTCAATTCAAAAACTGACATACACTGAACAAACACCTAGGATGCAATGCTTATGACCATGGTCAGATTTGCTGATAATACATTACATTAATTTCTAAGCTATCAGTTTGTTTCCATGGATGGTATGACCCTAAATGTGTTGAGTTATTCGTTTGAGCTGAGATGTGGCATGTTGTGCATGGCTATTAATTGCATCCCCTATGTTACATAGAATGTCATCCTCTTAGAACTGAAAGATGCTGTAATATAATCGCTTTGCTATTACTGTACACAGACAGTGCATGGAATGTTTTCTAAATGTGTTGGAACTGGGAACATAAAAGTGGTAGTTCTAAAGTATGCAGTATTCTGGTTTTTAATTGCTTAGCACTAGATATTTGATTCTCAAGGACATGCTCACACTAAACCCGAATTGAAGATGGAGCATTAGGAAGAGTGGTAGAGTTAAATTTCCTTGATAAATGAATGGTATGTCCGTCCATTCATAATTACAATTCTTAGTAGGAAATGCCCATCTTAATCAAGCTTCATTATTATGAAGCAACAGTCAGTTAATGCAATTTTCGACGCGATTTTCACCATGGGTCATCCGGAAACAGTCTCTTTGTGCTTTAGTACAGGGGTAAGGTTGCGTACATCCGACCCCCTTACCCCATCGTAGGTGGGAGCCTTTGCGGCACTGGGGTAATGATGAATCAAGCTTCGTTGTTCCACAGCATCAGTTTTAGACTATGTAGAAAAGTCTTAAGTTTAACTTCTTCTCCATGAGGTTTCATCATAAAAGGGAAGAAAATTCACGTCTATGCTTTTAAAATACATCCCTCAATTTAGATGCGAATGCTGGGAGACAAAAGATTGATTCTTAGAAAGACATGAGGGTCATATAAACTAGGCATTCCATTATGAGTAACATACAATACGTACATATGTCTAATTGACAATTTTTTTCATGTGGGAAATCATTTTATTTGAATCTGTAGTATATAGACGAGCATGGTAGGCGGTTTATATGCAAGAAGTATGTTTTCTTATGTGCGACATCTTTAGTATTTAGAGACAAGAAATGGGCACAAAATAATGTATTAGGTTCATTTGATGTTTTAAGGGCCTATGATCTGCTAGATAAAATGGGTAAGGCAAGAACTACGGCTTGGCAAACATCTGTGCACATTCTCTTTTAGACCCGTGTGGAAAGATGCTCAATTCTCGTAAATTCCCTTATCCTGAGAATCACATAGTGTGCCCCCATTTAGAATCAAAGTGATTGACAATTCCTGAAGTTGGAGGTATCACCGCCACTATAAATCCGTCCAATTTTCTCACTTCCCATGATTAGGGCGAATTCCTATCATTTAAAACAACCTTTTATGTAATTCCCATTATTTTAACAACATATATTCAATTTCAACCCCCAATCTACTCAACCTTGGGCTTAGAGGATTTTGATGCTCATAATGGAGCTAGGATGGTTGTCAATTTTATTTGATTTGAAATGCTACTGACTTGAATATTCATCCAGTACTCTAGTTTCCATAGCCAATATTTGTGTCTACAAAGGATATAGGAAAAATGGATCTGGTTTTCTTTTACTTGTCAACCGCAAAATAAAGAATTACAATTTCAAATTTGTTTGGTATTTTAGCAATGAAACAAGAAGAGCTAGAGTTTCTATATATCTTTATTTGAGGGTTTAAGGCCCAAAATATACATTACAATTTTAGCATATTTGATATTCCTAAAAATAAGAAAGTTGTTTCTACAATATTCTAAAGAATATTCCTAAAATATTCTAAAGAATTTCTACAGAAGGGGAGCCTTGTCGCACCGGTTAAGTTGTTGTTGTGTGACCGAGGTCACAGGTTCAAGTCTTGGGAGTGTCTTCTTGTCAAAATTTGATAGGGGAAGGCTTGCCCCTCATGCACCCTTCTGGCGGGACCCTTCCCCGGACCCTCGCCTTGCGGGGATGCCTTCGTGCACTAGGCTGCCCTTTATTCTAAAGAATTTCTACAATATTCTACTCTCCTCCTCAAGCTAGAGCAGATTCTTTTATCATGTACGACTTGTTACATAAATAATTTACCCGTTCTCCATTCAGTGCCTTGGTGAATAGCCTCTTAATGTTCTCTAGTCTTGAGTTCTTGACATATCCCGCATAGATTAATCCTTTCCGGATCTTTTCTCGAATAAAATGACATTTGACCTCAGTATGCTTTATTCTCTCATGAACTGTTGTGCATGAATAATGTGAATTACTTGTCTATACCTATTTGGCAAATTAGAATTAAATTACTTTTATCATTGAAATTAAGTTATATAGTACCCCTCTCAATTAGCTTGGTATTGTTTATTCTTGAGATATGAATGTCTGCCAGTCTATCTGTTCATTTTCAAGCCTTTCTTCAGGTTAACGGTTTAAGTTTAGTTAACTTAAGGTTTTCAATTCTAGCTCTGCCGCACTGGCCGGAAGAAAACAGCATCACTCATCGTTTATATGCCTTTATAAGAGGTTTCAAGGCTTATTTGCACTTTGAAAACATAATGGGCTCATTTTGTTGTACAGATCAAACACGTTTGCGGTGAATTTGCACCTCTTCCGTAACACATATTGCCTGATTTGGAATTCCTGTAATGCATTTTACATATGGCGCATATCATAAATTCCTTTCTTTTGTTTTGTTTTTGTTGACAGATAAGCAAGAAGCTCGAGTACATTCCAAATCAATATCATCTTTCTGTGGGAGGTAAGTTTAGAAAAAAAGTTAGACATTGCCAATGGGCTTTTAGTTTCCTCACAACGTCTAGAGCTTTAACTTAGCTCTGCAATATGTCAGGTTGCTGGAAGACACTGAAGATGAGGTAGTTAAAGTTCATGATTGATTATTTCATGCCTCTATTGAAAGAGCAGTTTCATGCTATTGTTTTTCATACTCGGTTGCTATATATATACTGTACATAATTACAAATGCTTTTCTTTAACAGTTGTCGGAATTGATAAAGAAGGGATCCATCAAGGTAGGAAGTGTAGCCAAGATTTTGTGTGAAGACCTCAGCAAACTTTGCCATGGGACAAGGTGATTACAATCGAACTCCTAACAACTGCTATTGAGTTATATCATGATACAACTTGTGCCTATTTGGCTGGCTCTTTTAATCAGGTTACTGAGATTATAGGAATATGATTCTGATGCGGTTAGCAAATTGTAGATTAATATGAATCGCATACACACAAGACAACACACCTATCATAAATAGGTAAATTTCCTGAATATAACTAAAACATAGGATTTCCCTTTCAAAAAAAGTAAAACATTGGACAAATATGGATAGGACTATACAAACTTATAGAATTTGAAATACATTGTGATTAAAATATCCTCATTTCAGCACTCAAAAATAATAACTATGTACTCATTTAAGTCATTGATTACCATTGCCGGCCACCATGATCATTTGCTGTCATAGCCGGTAATAATTGTTTGAAACATTTCATAACCCGTTTAGAAAACTGCCACCATAAAAGTCACTGTAAGTTTCCTCTACTGGAAAAAATCATCGCAGAATTGCAAAACTGGTGCTGGAGAATGTAACTGGACACTGCTCCTAGAAATTGCCGCTGCCTACCACATATTGTCATATTGAAATTTGGTAATGCCAAAATATGACAATAGAGTTTTCAGGATGAAAGTAAGTTACTCCTATTAATGGGGAAAAAATAATACTCTTGTTTTGGAATTTTAAATTTTTTACTCCTAATTCGGGAAAGTCCCATATTTGTTATTCAAATTCAAGTTTGGTAACTTAGGATGTTTATAATTAGACTGATTTCAGTCTCAAAACAAACCAAATCGGATCAGACTAGACTTAAATAACAATAGAATACATGTGAAGTAGACACCTGCTGGGCCAGATCAAATCAGTTTGGGTTATATTAGACTTTAAACAAACTAGGGAAAAGGGTCAAATAGGCTCTTGAACTAACTTAAAAAGTGCAATTCACCCCTTATATAAGAGGCTCTGTCTGACCGTCGTCATTTAGGGCGGTTCTCGGTGGAATTTTTTGATGAAATTTTTTGAGCATCTTTTTCTTTAAGTCTAGTTTACTCATACCAAATTTCAGATAAAAATTCAACCAATAAGACAGTCAAATGATTTTTTGAAATGTATTGCGCTGTTTAACTGCGCAGTTATCTTCAAAAATTCATTTGACTACCTTCCCGATTTAATTTTTAGCTAAAATTTGGTATGAGTAAACTAGACTTAATGAAGAAGATGCTCAAAAAATTTCATCAGAAAATTCCACCAGGAACCGCCCCAAATGGTGACGGCCAGACAGCGCCTTCTATATAATGGTTCACTTTTTAAGTTAGTTGGAGGGTCTATTTGACCCTTTTCCCAACAAACTAAGTTAAATCAAATCAATAAATTTCAACCCAATCAACACCCTTAAACGAATCAAAGAAGAGAGTTTCATGCCCAAAACCGGAACTTAATGCTGTAAAGTTGAGGGGAACTTAATGCCTGTCCTGCCTGATACGATAGTAATAAGTTCCTTTATGGGCTTTGAAAACTATCAAATAAACCTCCCACAATAGCAACTTAATTGCCTTTGAAAATAGTATGTCACATTATTATAAAAAAAAACTAGTCATACTTTTATTATCTGAAAATCTAGAAATCATATGTAAGTTTCATTTGTTAAGGCTAGGGCTGTTAACGAGCTGAGCCGAGCTCGAACACCCAATACTCGAGTTCGGCTCGATAAGGAATTAGTAGTGTTCGGATTCGAGCTCGAAGCTCGACAAGCTTTACAAATGAGGCTCGTGTTCGGCTCGATAGGCGTTCGATGTTCGAAACGAGCGCTCGATAGGCTCGATAAATATGCTCGAATTTAAAATTTTAGGTGATGCTCGTTAATAGGCTCGTGCTCGAATGATTCGACAAGTATTCAGTTCGTTAGTAATCATATTTAAATTCATAAAATCATACTAATTATATTTAAATTTTGAAATATATATAAATTATATTTATAATTTCAGGTGTTCGATAGGCTCGAGTTTGAACCGAGCCGAATACTACTATGTTCGAGCTTGGCTCGATTAAGTTTTCGAACATAAAACTTAGCTCGGGTTCGAGTTCGAAAGCTCGTTAAGCTCGGCTCGTTAGGTTCGAAACCGAGCTCGAACTCAAATAGTTCGATAAAAGCTCGGTTCTTTAAAAGCCCTAGTTAAGGCTCTCTTCTCCGATCTAGAAAACACTATTATTTCTTCTTGAAATCAAGAAAACACTATTCTTCTTTTAATTTCTTGTTAAGGCTTTATTCGTGAGTTGACTTCGGACACTACATCTGTTTTCAGCAATCAAGAAAATGACAGTGAGCTCTGAACAGTCTTCCAGCGCTGCAGACTAAGGACAATATAGGTCGGAGGATTCACACTACACCATTTTTTTCTTCGTCTCTCTCAATTATTGTGTACCATAGAATTACGCAAATACTCATCCTTGATATATGTTCTTAGTTTAATTGGCTAACCAACAATGAGCTTAACACCTAAGAACCTAAGAGTGTGTTTGGGAGTTGGGTTTTGGAGGGGAGGGGAAGGTTAATGGGGGGTTATGATCTTCCTTTTCATGTTTGGGAGTTTATAAAAATGGAGGGGGTGTTTTTGGAGGGCTTTGTAACCTTCAAAATCCTTCAAATGCTTAATTTTTAAGTTCCCCCATTCTGGAGGATTTTGGAGGATAAATTAGAAATGATATCAGCTCAATGATTTGAATTTGTCATATTTCAAAGTGATTTTAATTATAATTCCTTCCAAAACCCCATCCTTCCAATTTTATTACTCCCAAATACAAAGAAGGGTTTCCTCACCCTTCCCTCCCTTTCCCTTCCAACAACATACCTTCAAAGTCTTCACTTTCCCTTCCCTCCAAACTCTCAAACATACCCTAAAATGAGTTTTTTCTTTGGGAGATGAACTTAACTTAGTTCTCAAAGTATTTGTATCTTTATCATCAAAATTTTGTGCTATGTCATACATACATTTTGCAATTTAGGCATGTATTCTAATAACTCTCACAATCACCTGAGATGCAAAGCTGATCACTCTTTCAATTACATTACTTGTGAGTAGTGATGGACTCGGGTCGGGTCGGGCCCGGGCCGAGCCTAGGCCCGGTCGGGCCGCCGGTTTGTATGACATGGGCCCGGGACCGACCCGAGGGTTGGACGGGTCCGGTTCGGGCCACCTGCCCGGGTCACGGGTCGGGCCACCCGCCGGGTCGGGCCGGGCCGGTTAACGATTTTTTTTTTTTATAATTTATATTTTATAGTTTATAGTTTTATACAAGTATTAAAAACAAACTTCAAGTGCATTTATTTGAAATGAAATAGGAACTACATTTGAAAATTAAAACAAACTTCAAGAGACAAACATTTTGTAAATTGTAATCAATCGGAACTTCCCGCACCTCTCGATCCTTTGGCTTTGTCACATGACTTCATATGCTTCATTGTCATCTCGTATCCGCCTGAAATCCCCATGCTACATTTTCCCCCGCACCATTTACAAGTTGCGTACCACATCCCGGTCTTCGGGTCCTTCTGCTTATCAAAATTATACCGTATAACGGCATCTTGATTTTCCATCTTAAGTATGGTTGGACTCGGGTCGGGCCACCCGGCCCGTGGACCGGCCCGGCCCGTGGACCGGCCCGGCCCGCTACTGTGCGGGACCGGGACCGGCCTGCTACTGTGCGGGACCGGGACCGGCCCGGTTCTCGGGTCCTGGTCCGGGTCGGGTCTAGGCCCGGGGGGTAGGGCGGGTCCGGGCTCGGGTCTCAATTTTGGTGAATCGGCCTGGTCCAAATTGATTTTTTTTTATTTTTTTTCATTTTTGGGGTTCCACCCGGGTTGGGCTTGATGGGTAGGATGGGTTTGGGGGGTTTGGGAGGGTGGCGGTGAGGGGGGGGGGGGGGGTTAGGAAAGCAAAAAAAAAAAAAAAATCCAAACCGGAGGCCCGGCCCGGACCGGACCCGGTGGCTACCCGGGCCGGTCTCGGGTCCACTATTCTTGAACCACCGGCCCGGGACCTGGACCCGAGTCCATCCCTAATCCTAAGTATAAAGTAGATATATAAATAATAAATTAGTAGAGAATAGAGATTAGAGAGTAGGAATATTTGGAGAAGATGTGTAGTAAATTGTATAGAAAAAATGGAGTATTTATAGTTTTTTTGTACCCCTACCCCCCCACCCCCCCTAACCCACCCCTCGACCCCGGGAAGGCTCCCAACGGCTATATAGCCGTTTGGGTTCAATCACAACGGCTCTAAGGGCCTGTTTGGTAGCCAAAAGAATTTTTCTTTTAAAAAAATAGAGCCGTTGGCCCGAACCGGCCGGACCGGGCCTTCCTTTTTGTGAACCGTGCCCGAACCGCTAGCCTCCCCCGGGCCGACTAAAAGCCCGCACCGCCCATTCCGTAACCGGGCCGGGCCGGGCCGGGCCCGCACAGTGGCGGGCCGGGCCGGTTCAGGGCCGGGCCGACCCGGTTCGGTCCATCCCTACTTGTGAGAAGCTCATTTTTGCATTACGAGCTACAATACTCCTTACATGAAAGTCAAGTTCAAAATTATATACGTGAACCGATCTAATCCTAGTTCCCTTCTTGCAACACTAGGGGTGGACCGGTTCCGGTTCGGGCCTCGGTTCAAGAAGGGGAGGCCCGGAACCGGCCCGGGTAACCCCCGGGTCCGGGCCGGGCCGGGCCTCGGTTCTATTTTTTTTTTGGCTTTTCCTAGTTAACCCCCAACCCTCCCCCACACCCCCAAACCCACCCTAACCACCTCAAATGGCCCAAAATACCCAGCCCAACCCAAAATTTAAAAAAATTCAAAAAAAAAATGGCCCGACCCAGGCTCGAACCGGCCGGGCCGGTTTACCTTTTGAAGGGCCCGAGTCCGAACCGCCATCCCACCGGGCCGGTTGGCCCGAACCGGGCCTGCACAGTAGCGGGCCGGTCCGGTTCCGGGCCGGTTGGCTGGGCCCGAGTCCACCCCTATGCAACACCATCATTATACAAGTTAGCCTCCTCCAACTCGGAGACTCCAAGAGTCCTAAGTCCCTAGATACGCCACAACCATGGTTCACAAAGTGGCCAAATTCTTGAAAGATTTTTTCTCGACCATTCCAAAAACTTAGTCAACAAGTTCATAAAAAGAAAATAAATTAATTTTTATAACACTTACGCTACAGGTTCACAAAGTATGTAACTTTACAAATAAAAGTATAACATCACGCTACAATGCTACACAATCTCTCATATGGAGTACATAGATTTATGTGTTTAAATATTTTTTTAAAGAGATATGCGTTCTCTAATTTAGTACATGTAAGAATGTTTTCTTTTGGATTGTTTTAAGTCCCAGACTAGATTTCCGTAGTTATAAAATACACCGAGATCAAATATTTACCATATCAGACCAGTTCGAATCAGGTCAGATTAGACCAAACCAGCAAATATGAGTCCAAAAGAAAACATCATCAATGTTTACATTTCTTCTTCTTCTTCTTCTTCTTCTTCTTCTTCTTCTTATTATTATTATTATTATTATTATTATTATTATTATTATTATTATTATTATTATTATTATTATTATTATTATTATTATTATTATTATTATTATTATTATTATTATTATTATTATTATTATTATTATTATTATTATTATTATTATTATTATTATTATTATTATTATTATTATTATTATTATTATTATTATTATTATTATTATTATTATTATTATTATTATTATTATTATTATTATTATTATTATTATTATTATTATTATTATTATTATTATTATTATTGATGGATAGTCTACCCGGGGGTATATATCCGAAGGGTTATTGCGGAGAGTAACTTAGATAGAAGTCAGAGCAAGTAGATATAGAGAGAGAGAGCGTATTATAAATGTGGAGCGTTTTCAGCGTGGTTACAAATGGGGAAATGGGGTGCTATTTATAGTAGCAATAAATGCCGGGCAGGGACACGTGTCAAGCGCTCATTGGCTGAGGGGTCACCTCAACTGGTTGGCGCTAACAGCCGCATGTGGCCGCATTTAATGCGGCTGTTGGATGGGACGTCTGTGCAGAGTACGGTGATCTGTACGCATGTGAGGCGGATATCTTGTCGAGTGAGATGCCTTCGGCTATAGAGCAGTAGCCGAGGGCTCTCCCTCCCGATGGCACCCCTGGTGCCGAGGGCTTACAGTGCCGAGGGCTGCTGTTTTCGCCGTTTTCTCCCAGTTTCTTAGTTTGCTTGAGAAACCCGCTCTGTGATAATTTGGAGCCTTCGGCCAGGAGGCCGAAGGCACCCCTGTGCGTTGTGCGGACTGCTTGGTACTCTGGGCGCTGTGATTTGGGCCTGTTGGGCCTGTTGGGCCTTTGCTGGAGTAGTAGGAGTCTGTGGGCCGGGGGTTCCCGGGCCATATACTCCATCAGGAGTCCCTCACTCCTTTTGCCGAAAGGTACTTGAGGGAAAAGGAGTAATTTGTGCTTGCCCTTTGATGTTGTCCTGTCGTGATCTCTGAAGTTGGTGAGGAATTGTTGCTCTTATGTCCCTGCCGAAGGTAGTCCCTCAGTTACCCACATGTCGGGACTTGAGGGCTTGCTTTGTTGTTTGTTGGATTTTCACAGATTTTGTAATTTAATGATTTTCCCGAGGGGGTCCTCCAGTCCCCCACTCCTTGAGGCACTTGTAAAGTGGTGAAAAGGAGTAAAGTAGTTACGTTGCTGTTGTGGGCCGAAGGCTGACGCTTTTCGTTTCATTTTGGGGGGATGCCTCGTTAAAAACCTCATTAGGAAAAACCCTTTGGGAAAAAATCCTAACGAGGGAAAAAGAGTGCACCGAATTCCCCCAATGATGAATCGAAAATGTCAAACCTTGGTACAAAATGGAGAATGGCGGGAATGCCGAGGGCTCTCTCTTCTGAGGGCTCCTGTGTTGATTAGCCGAAGGCTCGCTGTTGATGTCCTGGTGGCGCCGAAGGGGAGCCTCTCAATCCAGAGATCGAGGGCCTGCCAGATGAGGGCAGCAGTGAAGTGTTTACCGGGGGGGTCCACTGTTTGTTGATTTGTTGGTGATGAAGATACCCGAGGGCTCCCCATTACCTGTGTGCCAGGGGCCATCCGTCAATGAGGAAACTCCCCGGGGGCTACCCAGTTTTGCAGTGCTGAGGGGGAATCCCCGAGGGGGTGTCCTGATATGAAGCCCTGGGTCTCTGAAGGAGTGATCCCGAAGGCGTCTGTTATGTGCTGTGTGGGGCGCAACCCGGGGGCACTTCTGAATGATTGTACCCGGAGGCTATCTTTGATGAAGTGGAGTGAAGTAGAAAACCCGGGGGCTTCCAGAATATAGCCGTTGGAAATATAGCCGTTGGAATACGTAACGACAGGATATAGCCGTTGGGGGAATGACACACGTGGCGTGTGATGGCTGGTTGTTCGTGGGCGGCGTCACCGGTTGGGTGAAACGACGGCGCGTAATGATGGCGTCCATCCGGAGGCCCGGAACCCAGGCCCAAGCCCGGATTCCAGCGCCTATAAATACCCCAAGGCCGGGCATTCCTCCGTGTGCGATAAACTTGTTAGCGAAGCTCTGTCAATTTTTCTAGAGAGAGAAAGTTCAGCCTTCGGTCCAAAACTCAGCTTTCGAGGTCAGTGCTCCGTGCCTTTTTCCTTCTAGCATAGCTGTACTGTGCCCTTAGTTTAGGAGATAGAAAAGTTAGGAAACACTACCGTCTACGAGCCCTCGAACAAGAAAGCGAATATCGTCCCAGAGTGACTCTCAGGACATCTCGAGGACGCCCTCGATGGAGGACGAAGGCATCTCCGATGTGGAGTCAAGCAGTGATCAGCCCTCGGATTGTGGTGATGCAGCCCTCGCCACTGAGGTGCAGAAAGATCTGACGGCTGAGGCCGAGGCGGAGGAATTCGAGCGAACTGCCGAGGATGAAGAGTTGGCCCTCGCCGTCCAAGTTGCTGAAGAGGAGGAGGAGAAGGAGAGGGCGAAGGTCACTGTGGCCGTCCTTCCCCCTCGGGGTGCTGGTGAGGCCAGTACTTCCCAGCCGCTGAACGCAGTTCCCATCCGGGTGGCCCCCGGGAAGAAGAAGGCCAAGGCGGCTGTCCCTAAGAAGAAGGTCATAGCTGCTGATCAGGGGAAACCCGTAGATATGCCGGAGGGGTATTCCTGGCTCAACACGGCTGCCCTGGAAATAAAGTCGAAGGCGGACAGGGCGGACCTCTACGTGACGCAGCTACATGTAGGGCCCTCGGCCGAGGTGGTCGAGCCGGGAGTTGACGATGTGCTCTCTCGGGCGCCCGAAGGGTGCATTGCAGTACACGTGCTGTCGGTCTCCATGGGCCTTCGGTTCCCGCTGCACCCCTTCCTCCGGGAGTACCTGAGGTTCGTCGGCTTGGTGCCCTGCCAGCTGACACCTAATAGCCATTCCTACGTGGCGGGTTTTCTAAACCTCTGTAGGGACCGAGGGGTGACCCCCAGCCTGGACTTGTTCTTCCAGAGCTTCAACCTCTGTCGAGGGGGTCACGCGAATGCCGAGGGCTTCGCCAACCTGCAGCAGGTGGCCAGGTGGAAGCTGTTTACGGAGGCGCCTTCGTCAAACAAGGGCTGGAAGGAGCGCTGGTGCTATGTCAGGGTTGCTGAGAACCCATTCCCGGCGGAACTTCGGGATCGTTTCCGTCGGCATCCGAAGGTTGGAAGCGCCGCCCTCGAAAAAGACGGCCTGGTGATAGCAAAAATCCCGGAGGGTCGCACCAAGCAGGTCTCCATTAAAGACTATACTGCCGACAAGGGATTCTACGCCCTCGGCTTTCGCAGATACCGGTTTATTGGTGAAGCGGATGAGAAGTACCCCGTTTTTGCTGAGGCCTTCGGGGGAACAGGAGGTAGTCTACGAGGTCCCTTAGCACATAGCTTATCCTGTTCGTGTTTTTTTTTTTGTTTTTTATTTTGTTCTTTGTGCCTTCGGTCAGCGTCCCCTCGATTCTAACCCCATTCCTTTGTTTCTTCGCAGGTGTCCCAGTGAAAATGATGAATGTTAGAGGCCTTGCAGACTTGAAGAAGAAGAAACCCTCCAAGGGCCCGAGGGGGACGGACGCCGGTGTCCCAAAACCCGCCGGTGACTTCTTCAAAAAACCGGAGGGGCCGTCGGCGGGCCCAAGCGCTGATGCTGCTGCTGCCGCCAAAAGGAAGGGCTCGGGCAGAGATCCCGAGGGCAAGAAGCCCAAGACCGGGGATGCCGGGAAGAAATCCCCCCCGGTGATCATTGTTGATGAAGGCCCTGCCCCCGGGCCAGATGAGGACATGCAGGTGGCGAAGGTGCCGTCGGGAGTTCAGGGGCCATCTTCCGAGGTCCTCATGGTTTCCCTCCCGGCTGTTACGGCCGTGATGAATGGTACCGCCGACCCGAGGGCGCTTCTGCGAGGCATCACCCTCGAGATTGACAGGGTTGCCCTCGGGGCTTATGAAGACGAAGCCCTCGAGGACAGGATCCTCCGGTCCTCCCTTACAGTAAGTCTTTCACGCCTATTTCTTTCCGTTTTACTTGGAGCTTAGAAACCATATTTGGCCTTGCTAACCCCTTTGTTTTTGTAGACCTGCATTGCCCTCGGGGAGCAAGCCCGGCGGCTAGAGGAGTGGCGCCTTCGCAAGGCCGAGTAGGAGGCCAAGATGCGGGAGCTCATCCGCCAGAATGCAGACGCTGTGCGGCAGATGGCCATGCTGGAGGAGAGCCTTCGGCAGATGACCCTGCGAGCGGAGGCCGCGGATCGGGGTAGGGCAGAAGCCGAGAGGTCCGCAGCTGAGGCCTTGGAGAAGGCTGCCAAGGAAGCCGAGGCCGCGAAGGTTGAAGCCGTCGAGAGAGCCCGTGAGGACGCAATCTCGGGGTTCTTGGCAGGGGGATGGCGGTCCGAGGAGCACAAGCAATGGCTGTCCTCGGTCGTCGAGTCCTCGGTCGACGAGTGGTGCGATGGGCCTGGCGTGGAGTGGGTTTCCCGAAAGGGTAAACAATACTACGATGGGGGCGAGTTCTTCACTCAAGCCCTCATCTATCGGAGGATGGCTCGCCACTTGAAGATCGAGCCAAAGGACTTTGACCCGGCAGCATACGGGCTCCCCCTGCAGCCAGACATCCGCGTTCCTCTTCCCCCCGATGTCGAGAGGCCAGACCTAGAGGACTCTGACCTCATGAAGGAAGCCGAGGGCGACGAACCTGAGGCCGACGCAGAAGTGACCTCGAAGCCATCGGGGGAGGCGGCCCCCGGGAGTAACATGATTTGATATGTACTTTTTATCCTGTAAACATATATTTGTAATGATGACATTATTTATCCCTCGGCTTCGGCCTGCTTGTAATCTCACACTTGCTCCTGTTTTTGATGAAATGCATGCTGCCTCCGGGCTTTTTATATTCGAATGCGCCTTATGTTTTGAATGTATGCCTTCTCCTTTGAATGTATGCCTTCGGTATTTTTGAACGTATGTCTAGGACTTAGAATACTATCTGTTTGTAGCTAGTCCTTAGGAGCCTTCGGTAGATGGGCACCTTCTGCTGGACATGCAACCGATGGTTCGGCAGCAATTAGGACTTAGAAAATTTTTTCTAAGTGTAGCACAGCATGAGGCCTTCGGGCGTTTGTAGTAACCCAACCCCTAGGACTTAAGAGAAATTTTCAAGTGTAGACTCCCCCTTGAAAGCCTTCGGGATATGGCATTCCTTCCTGATGTGTGAATCTTGGACCGAGGGCCCAATGCACATGACTTAGAGATTTTTGTAGGCGTAGTATGTCATGTAGCCTTCGGCTACTGTGGAGCCCCACCTGTAATGTTGAATAGGCCGGGGGCTAAGTCTTTAGGACTTAGAAGATTTTCTTGAGTGTTTTTTCATTGTGTACCGTAGCCCTCGATTGATAGGTAGCCTTCGGCAATTAGGTCCCTTGAGATGAGGGTGAAATATGTAGGACTTAGAAAATCTTCTAAGTGTAGAGTTTCCCTTGGGAGCCTTCGGGAGATGGCATCCCTTCATGGTGTATGAGTAGTTGACTGGGGGGGAAAATATGTAGGACTTAGAAAATCTTCTAAGTGTAGAGTTTCCCTTGGTAGCCTTCGGGTGATAGATGCTCTCTGATTCTACATCACTTTGCAGGTGCCCGGGGGCTACTCATTTAGGACAGAATACTTTTTTAATTGTTGTTGTATTGCATGGCCTTCGGCCACCATATTCCCTTGGCTGTAATATTGATTGGGCCGGGGGCCCAATCTTTAGGACTTAGATTTTTTTTTTTCAAGTGCTGCTTCCCTGTGTAGCCTTCGGGTGCCCGGGGGTTGCTCCTTCAGGACTTAGAATTTTTCTAAGCATAAATTGATGTTGAATCCTGTTGTTGTGAAGAAAGCCAATGAGGAGTGTGTGCCCTCGGCATACACTTTAAAAGTTGTAGAATTTGACCCTTGTCATGGGGAAAGAGCCCTCGGTATTTGTGCATAACAGATGCCTTCGGTGTTTGTTTGAAGTACTGTTTAGTGGACCTTGGATAGTCCAGTCCCTTTGTATTGTTGGAGCCCTCGGTGTTTCCTGATGATATTTCCTTGAGTAGTATCCTTCGGGAAATTGGAGTCTTCAATTACCGAAGGTGTTCCCGTGGGGAGCCCTCGGCATGTTGTGATTTTGTTGGAGTGTACTCTTTGATTTCTCGCTGAGTCTACTCCCCTTCACCCCCTTCTTTTTTTTTTTTTTTTTTTTTTGGTCGGTGGTGAAGGGAAGGCATCAAGAAACTTGGTTTCTTGGTAAGGCTGGGCCTATTAGGAGACCATCACAATACACCAATGGCTCTCCTCCCTCGGGTTAACCTTCCGAGTGCCGAGGGGATCGAGGGACGTTTCCTGGGCACAAGATATGGTGGTCCGTAACCTGCCTCCCCTTGGGGGATGGCGCGGAAAGCGCCTCATTTTTGAAAGTCGTCCCCTCGGCGCTAGACATAGTCTGTGGCCTGCCACACCCTTGGGGTGGTGGCGCGGGGAGCGTTTCGGTTTGGAAGTCGAATCCTGGGCATTTCTCATGCCTGTCATACCCTGGGGGTAATGACGCGGATAATGTTCCGTTTTTGAAAGTCGAATCCTGGGCATTTCTCATGCCTGTCATACCCTGGGGGTAGTGACGCGGAAAGCGTTTCAAGGAAGGGTTTTCATTTGCACACTAGTTGCAAATGGCCGGGGGCACTACGTGCCGCCGGCACCGATGGTGGCGCCTTCGATATATGCGTCCTCGTGGGGTACGGCTTTTAGAAACAACACTTGGTGTTAGTTTCGATGTGTAGCCCCCGGTACTTGGTACCGAGGGGTCTTCTGTAGGAACACTTGGTGTTCTCTTGTTGTAGTTGATGTAGGCGTCTACCCTCGGTACTTGGTACCGAAGGGTCTTCAAATGAAACACTTGGTGTTTCCCAATAGATGTTTGGAAGCTGTTAGGAGAGCATATCCCTGGCACTGGGTGCCGAGGGGTCTTCTTTGAAACACTTGGTGTTCCTTCTTTGTTTCGATATTTGATGAGGGAGGTGTACCCTCGGCACTGGGTGCCGAAGGGTCTTCTGTAGGAACACTTGGTGTTCTAATCTTTTTCTTTTTTGATGTTGAAGGTGGGAAAGTACCCTCGGCACTGGGTGCCGAGGGGTCTTGACTGAAAACACGTGGTGTTTTTACTGTTTGTTGTAGGTGTTGATGGTGTCCGCCCTCGGCACTGGGTACCGGAGGGGGTTCTTCCTGTGGTGAGGCCTGGGGCCTGTAGTCAGTATGAGGGCTTGATGTCTTGAATGTATCTTCATTCTTCGAAATTGGAGGCCTTGGGCCATTGGATAGTACATTCACTAGTTATGAGGGCTTGGCCGCTCTTACATTATTGATAAAACTTAACTAAATGGTGTACATTCCAGTGCCTAGGGACCTCTTTCCCGTTGGGGCGTTTGAGTTTGTAAGTCCCGGGTTTGATGATGGCTGCTATGATGTAGGGGCCTTCGAATTTTGGTGCCATTTTTCCTCCCTCGGTTGGTTGGCTGGCTTCCCTCCTCCGGAGGACATAGTCCCCCACTTGAAATTCCCGAGTTCGAACTTTGGCGTCGATGTAGCTTTTAACTTGCCTTCGGTAGTTTTCTGCCCGGATGAAGGCTTGCTCCCAGCGTTCTGAAATGAGGTGCAGGTCGAGGGCCATGTTGCTGTCGTTGACCTCGGGGTCATATTGGATCACCCTTCGGGTAGGAAGGGTGACTTCCGTAGGAGCTTTGGCTTCAAAACCGTAGCAGAGGGAGAAGGGTGTTTCACCTGTAGCGCGCCGAGGGGTAGTGCGGTAGGCCCAAAGGATGTTGTGAAGTTCTTCCACCCAGCCACCACCCTCGGCCTCCAGCTTCTTTTTGAGGCCCTCGAGCAAGGTCCGGTTGGCGTTCTCTACCTGCCCGTTGCCTTGAGGGTAGGCAACGGAGGAGAAGGTGTGTTTGATGCCCCATGCCTCCAGAAGGGCACAGAAGGGGGCTGCCTCAAATTGTGTTCCATTGTCGGAGATGATCTGCTGGGGGACGCCAAACCTTGTGAGGATGTTCTTGAGGACGAAGTGACGGCACTTCGCCTCTGTGATGCTGGCGAGGGGTTCAGCCTCCACCCACTTGGTAAAATAGTCGACGGCCACAATGATGTACCTGTTGTTGGAGGTACCCCTCGGCAGAGGGCCCACAAGGTCTATCCCCCATCGAGAAAATGGGACAGATGTGCTGATGGGGGCATAGTTGACCGCTGGCCTGCCGGGGGCTTTCTGGAAATGTTGACATGCGGTGCACCTCCGGGCAAGGTCAGCACAATCCCTGGCCATGGTTGGCCAGAAGTAGCCCTGGAGAATGAGCCTTCGGGACATGGAGAAGGGTCCCTGGTGAGCTGAGCAAGTGCCACTGTGCACTTCCTCCATTGCGACTTCGGCTTCATCTGGATGAAGGCACCGAAGTAGCGTGCCATTGTAAGATCGTTTGTAGAGCCTCCCATCTTCGATGGTGTAGCTGGGAGCCCTCAGCTTTGCCAGTTTAGCGCGGGCCTCATTCTCGGGTAGCTGTCCTGTGGAGATGAAGGCGGTTATATCTGAAATCCAATCCTCCTGACGTTGTTGTATGTTCATCACGGGGCTTGCATGGATGCTTGAGAGGCTGAGTTCCTCGATCTTGGCAATCTTGGAGATGTGCTCGGGGGAGTCTGCCGAGAGTTTAGATAATATGTCGGCCTCGGAGTTCTGAGCCCTCGGTATTTGAGTGAGAGAGTGTGCCTCAAATACCTTAAGCAACTCCTTGGCCGCTTCCTTGTACTGTTTCATTCTTCCTTCCTTGGCCTCATATTCTTCGAAGATTTGGCCAACGACCAACTTGGAGTCGCATTTGATGTGGATCTGCCGAGCCCTCATGTTGGCAGCCAGCCGAAGGCCACATAGGAGGGCTTCATATTCGGCCTCATTGTTGGAGACTTTGAAGGAGAAGCGGATTGCATAGTAGGCCCTGAAGCCCTCGGGAGTAATGAGGACTACCCCTCCCCCGCATGCTTTGGTCGCGGATGAGCCGTCAGTGTAGAGGGTCCACCAGTCGTCCGAGGTAGCCGAAGGCTCCCCGTCCGCGGCTGCCCTTGCGGTGCATTCCGTCACAAAGTCCGCTAGGGCTTGGCCCTTGATGGCAGGCCTTGGACGGATGTCAATGTTGTATTGGCTCAAGAAGATAGCCCATTTAACCATGCGGGAGGAGCTGGTGGGGCTCCTCATGAGGGCGCCGAGGGGTTGATGAGTGAGGACCTGAACGGGGTGAGCCTGAAAGTAGTGGCCCAACTTCTTGACAGTCCAAACGATGGCCAACACCGTTTTTTCCACAGGGGAGTACCTGAGCTCGGCCTCCCTTAGGGTCTTGCTAACGTAGAAGATGGCATGTTGGATGCCGTCTTCCTCCCGGATGAGCACAGAGCTGATGGCTGCTGGGCTAACCCCAAGGTAGAGGTAGAGGGTCTCCCCTACCTTGGGTTTGGAGAGCACATGGGGTGAAGATAGATATCTTTTCAGCTCGTCGAAAGCCCCCTGGCATTCTGGAGTCCATAGAAAGCCAGCCGTCTTCCTCATGATCTGGAAGAAGGGCAGAGACTTCTCTGCCGATTTAGATAGGAAGCGGTTGAGGGCTGCCAGGCAGCCCGTCAACCGTTGAACTTCCTTCACGTTGCGTGGGGGCTCCATGTTGATGATGGCCTGGATCTTCTCGGGATTGGCCTCAATACCCCTTCGGCTCACCATGTAGCCTAAGAATTTGCCCCCTTGGACGCCGAAGGTGCACTTCTTCGGGTTTAGCCGAAGGTTGAATTTTTGCATGATGGCAAAAATTTCCCGGAGGTCGTCAGCATGACTGGAAGATTGCTTGCTCTTGACGATCATGTCGTCGACATAGGCCTCCATGGTGCGCCCTAGGACGGCTTGAAAGACCCGGGCCACCATCCGGGTGTAAGTGGCCCCCGAGTTCTTTAGGCCGAAGGCCATCACTAGGTAGCAGAAGATGCCCTCGGGAGTCATGAAGGCAGTTTTTTCGGCGTCCTCCTCGTGCATGAATATTTGATGGTACCCTCGGAAGGCATCGAGGAAGGACATGATTTCACACCCCGCGGTCTCATCCACCAATTGATCAATGTTTGGTAGAGGGAATGGATCCATGGGGCATGCTTTGTTGAGATCGGTGTAGTCCACGCACATGCGGAAGGTAGGGGGCTTCTGGGCGAGGACTACATTTGCTAGCCATGAGGGGTATTTCACCTCCTTGATGTGCTTGATTGAGAGGAGCATGGCGACCTCCTTCTTCACAAATTCCCTTCTCTCGGCGGAGAGGGGTCTTCTTCGTTGTTGCACTGCTTTTGCCGAGGGGTCCACCGAGAGGCGGTGGGTGATGACCCTTCGGCTAATTCCCGGCATGTCCTCCGGCCCCCATGCAAAGACAGTGGAGTAGGCGCGGAGGGCGTCGGTGATACCGGTCTTCAAATCTTCAGGGAGCTGGGCTCCAATCTTCACGACTCTCTCCGGCTGGGCCGAATCGAGCGCAAAGTCTTCTACGTCCTCGGCCGGTTCAGCCCTCGGCCTTCTTTCCTCCTGGTCGACGGCTCCGGTGATGGTGTCAACACGGAGTTCCGTCTTGCTTACCTTCTTAGTGACCTGAAGATAGCAGGCACGGGCAATTTTTTGGTTCCCCCGGGAGTAGCCAATGCCCCCCTCGGCGGGAAACTTGAGGCAGAGGTGCCTCATGGAGATGATGGCCTCGAGGTCCTCGAGGGCTGGCCGGCCGAGGATGATGTTGTGGGCGCAGTCAATGTTGACGACGACGAACTCCACCTCGAGCTGGGCTCTATGGAGCCCGTCGCCGAAGATCACCGGGAGGGTTATTACCCCCTCGGAATCAATAGAGTGGCCGGTGAAGCCGGCAAGAGGGGTCTTAATGGGCCGAAGGGACCCCCTCTCCAGATGCAGCTCTCTGAAGGTGCTGAGGTACATTACATTGACGGAGCTGCCCGTGTCAACGTAAGTTCGGTGAATGATGGTGTCGTTGATCTCCGTTCGAATCACTAAGGCATCCCGGTGAGGAGAAGAAGTAGGAGGGAGATCTGCGTTGGTGAAGGTGATGGGTTCCTCCCTCAATCGCTTTACCGGGGGCATATGAGTGACTTCCCCTACGTAAAGCGATTGAGCCCACTTCTTTCGCTGGGTGGTGGAATCGCCCCCTGTGTTGCCACCGGTGATCATGAGGATGTGGCGTTTTTTCTCCTGGTAGTGGGGGTATTCCTCCTCCTCTTCTTCCAAGTTTCCAATCTCCCTTTTCTTGCCGAGGGGGATGGTATTCGGGTTCACCCAGGCATTTACCTTCGTATGGTGCCCTCGGGGAGGTCCCTGATGAGAAGGTCCCTCCTGCCGAGGGCTCTGGACAAACTGGGACAGGTGCCCTGCCTGTATTAATCTCTCGATGGCCGTCTTCAGTTGATGGCAGTCATCGGTCCTGTGCCCCTGGTGTCGATGGAAGCGACAGTAGGGGAACTGAGGGTTGATAGCGTGTACCTCCGGGGGTGCGCGAGAATCGCGTTCAACGAGGCCCCTCTCCTCGGCAAAATCGAGGATGATGTTGACGGGATGCGTCAATGGTGTCCGAGGGCGGTCCAGGAGAATGGGCTGGGCCCAAGTCTTAGGGTTGCTCTTATAACCTCCCCCGGGCTTGGCTTGGCATTGCCGAGGGCGGTCATCGGAGGGTCCCGAAGTCTTGGGGCGATTTGGAGGAGCCCCCGGCCCTCGGTTATGCCTGTTGTCAGCCCTCGGGGGCTGTTGGTCCGGATGTTGGTGATACTTCTCCACCTCCTCGGCCTCAGCATACCGGTCCCCCCGCTGTAAGGCCCTTATGTAGTCGCGGGGGGGGGGGGGGGTTCAATAATGAGGCTCCTGGAAAAGTTGCCGGTGCGGAGAACGGTTTGTAGGAGGGCCAGGAGGGTCCCGTCATCAGCCCCGTCGACCTTGTCGGCCTCCATCCTCCAGCGCTCTAGGAAATCCCGAAGGGTCTCGTCCTTCTTTTGGCGTATTGTTAGGAGGTGGGAGAAGTGCTTCCTTGTACGACGCCTCCCGGCAAATTGTGTCAAGAATCGCTGGGCGAGTTCTTGCCACGAATCAATGCAGCCCTCGGGCAGCCTGTTGAACCATTCGTATGTTGGTCCCTCTAAGGTGGAGAGGAACCAACGACACAAATATTCGTCTGACGCCCCCACCATCATCATGCTGTTTTGGTATTTGCTGTAATGTTCCTGGGGTCCGTTTTCCCGCTGTAGGGCTGTATGTGTTGCCCTCGGTATTTCTCCGGGATCCGGGCCGCCAATACCCTTGGGGTAAATGGCGTCCGAGTCCGGAGTTGGATGACGGGTTCCCCGGAGCCCTCGGCCACCTTCTTCTGTAACTCCTCCATTTTGGCCATCATGGCCTCGTATTTGAGATCTGAGCGAGGGGTGGAGGTGGTGGCGTGAGCTTTGTTGGACTCCATTTCGTCAAGCCGGCGCTGGAGGGCCGCGATAATCTCGTCTCGGGGGTCCCTCGGGAGGGTTTCCGCCCGCTGCGAACGAACCCGGGCCGAGTGGGCCTGGTTGATTTGGTGCCGAGCATCATCGGCATGAAGGGGTGCCTTGCCTTTGTCCCGAGGGGGACGCTCCTCGTCTGCCCTCGAAACAGATCCCCCGCTTTCCTGGGGCCTTTGGAGTGCTTTCCCCCCGAGGCGGTCTTGGACCCCTCGGCGGTCTGGCCCTCCTCCGTGCCGGTTGAGGGCGGAAGTACGGGGCCTCTCCCTGTTGTCATTATGGCGGTCCCGGGACTGAACTTCCTGGGAGGATGTTTCTTGGGCCACCACCCCTTCGTCGTTTCTCACCCGAGGGGTGGGATTTCCGAAGGGGTGTGGCAGAGGGGGAAGTATGGTATTTTCCCCGATCTGAGGGTGAGCTGGAGCCAGGGTGCCGAAGACACCCGGGTTCTGGGTGAGCGTTTGGATGAAGGCGGAGAGCGCCGATTGTACGTCGATGGTGAGAACCGGAGGGCTGACTTGGTCATCACTCCGGTTTTTCTTCTTGGCCTCGATGCCGAGGCGGGCATCGGGGCGTTTTGTTGGATCTGAAGGCGTAGGTCGACAGCCGCCTGTTCCAGCCCAGCGAGGACACCGCCCTCGGGAGCCCTGTGAGAGGCTTCGGGGGCGTTGACGTCGCCGAGGGCCAGGTTCTTGTCTTCTACGTTCTTTGAATTGGCACGTGTTGTCCTCACCATTTTGATAGAGGGCTAGTGTTTTGTGTTTGGTCGAGGGGGAGGGTTTCTCACTCGATTGTTCAACCTCTCAACGAGAGCACCAAATGATGGATAGTCTACCCGGGGGTATATATCCGAAGGGTTATTGCGGGGACTAACTTAGATAGAAGTCAGAGCAAGTAGATATAGAGAGAGAGAGCGTATTATAAATGTGGAGCGTTTTCAGCGTGGTTACAAATGGGGAAATAGGGTGCTATTTATAGTAGCAATAAATGCCGGGCAGGGACACGTGTCAAGCGCTCATTGGCTGAGGGGTCACCTCAACTGGTTGGCGCTGGCAGCCGCATGTGGCCGCATTTAATGCGGCTGTTGGATGGGACGTCTGTGCAGAGTACGGTGATCTGTACGCATGTGAGGCGGATATCTTGTCGAGTGAGATGCCTTCGGCTATAGAGCAGTAGCCGAGGGCTCTCCCTCCCGATGGCACCCCTGGTGCCGAGGGCTTACAGTGCCGAGGGCTGCTGTTTTCGCCGTTTTCTCCCAGTTTCTTAGTTTGCTTGAGAAACCCGCTCTGTGATAATTTGGAGCCTTCGGCCAGGGGGCCGAAGGCACCCCTGTGCGTTGTGCGGACTGCTTGGTACTCTGGGCGCTGTGATTTGGGCCTGTTGGGCCTGTTGGGCCTTTGCTGGAGTAGTAGGAGTCTGTGGGCCGGGGGTTCTCGGGCCATATACTCCATCAATTATCATGATTATGATTATCATGATTATGATTATCATGATTATGATTATCATGATTATGATTATCATGATTATTATTATCATGATTATTATTATCATGATTATTATTATTATTATTATTATTATTATTATTATTATAATAATTATTATTATAATTATTATTATTATTATAATTATAATAATAATAATTATTATTATTATTATTATTATTATTATTATTGCCTATCACTAGCAAGCAAAATTTAAAGGGAAAAGTTCTCGAAATAGGATTAAAACAGTTTGTAAATTCCTAAATAGGACTGTCATGTTTTTTATTTCCAAAATAGGACTAATTACTGCCATGTTTAGAAAATATTGCCATGTTTGAAGTCTGGTACTGCCAAAACATGACAGTAATTAGTCCTATTTTGGGAATAAAAACATGACAGTCCCATTTTGGAATTTTCAAACCGTTTTAATCCTATTTCGGGTAATATTCTCTTTTATTTAGATATTTTGTAAAAATATTATTCAAAATAAAATTTATTTACATGAACATCATTAAAAGTTATTATAGAATAATGTTGATGTCACTTAAGTGTAAAAATCAAAGATAAATTACTGTAATTAAAATTACTACTGTTACACACATTTAAATAAAATATGTATTTTTCAGTGTAATAAGATATGTAATGTTATTTATTTATTTATTTATTTATTTTAGGTATGAGTTCGCTTGAATGGCCTAAGGAGTGAATATTAGGGGTAAATGTATTAGCAGAAAATGAATGAAGGGGACACTCAGAATTTGAACAACTTCTCCTCTAATTCTGACTAATCTCCTTCCTCATGCTTTCTTTTGTAGAAATACAAAATCTAATCTTAACATCACCACGCACATTGGCGCATGATTATGCTAATTTTTTGTTCTTAAGAAAAACTCACATCATCAACCAATTCCATCTCCTGGATAATGTTGATGTGTATATATCATTGTCATAATCATATCTGTATGTATTCTCATTGCATGTTAATGTTTTTTTCAATTTTTCATTTTGTAAAAAGATAAAAACGAAAAATCGGTGAACAGAGGAGATGGATCCGGAGATGGGCGCATCTAGCCCGTATCGGAACAACCCTAACGGTGAGCCTCCGTCGATGTCTCCATCTCCGTCGCCTCGAGCGCCGGCATTGGTGGTTTCCAATTCCAGCAAGTCGCTGGCGGTCTCGAACTCCGCCAAGTCTCTGTTGGTTTCTAATTCCGCGAAGGCTCTGTTGCTGTCGAGTTCCAGTAAGAAGATGGATGCTTCAGGGAAGAAGAAGTACGTGAAACAAGTGACCGGCAGGCACAATGACACGGAGTTGCATCTGGCGGCTCAGCGCGGGGATCCGGCAGCAGTGAGGTCGATCCTGGAAGAGATTAACGCGCAGATGCTCAAAACCATGTCCGGAGCTGAGTTTGATGCGGAGGTGGGGGAGATTAGGGCTGCCATGGTGAACGAGGTGAATGAGCTGGGGGAGACGGCACTGTTCACCGCGGCTGAGAGGGGATACATCGATGTGGTGAAAGAGTTGCTTCCGTACACAACCAAAGAGGGGATCACTATTAAGAATCGGTCAGGCTTCGATCCCTTGCATATTGCTGCCAATCAAGGTCATGAAGGTACTACTGGTCCCCATTTCATTTCATGTTTGCCTTTTCTTCTTCTTTATGTACAAGATAAAGCTTTGGAAGTTGCAAGTCAGTTAGGCATTTTGACTTTCTAAATGATGATATGAACTTTGACCCATAGTATATTTATGTAAAGTATTTATAGTATCAAAACGTTCTTTGTAAAATTTTAAAACAATTCACCAAACTATTATTGTTGAGGGTGTTTGGTTACCGGCCTATTAGTCATTTTTTGGTTGATTTGACCACTATTTAGCTTTTTGTCCGGATAAATCGGTTAATGTTTGGTTAAATGGCTTTTACATTTGGTTTTTTGTTTCAAACCACCAAAATATGAAATGCCATTAATCCCAGCTTTTACGATTGGCTGTATTGTATATTCTCATTCTGCCTCGTTTCTCATATCAGTTTGACAGTTTTTACTAGGTAGGAAATAGTTCCTAATTTTTTAAACTTTTCATATATGGCTTCTATTTTTATTGTAAATTCACTCAAAATAAATTCAATAAAAATAGTTCCTAGTTTCTACTTTTTTGTAATATAATAATAAAATGAATTAAGCAAGGTATTTTGACTTGGCGTGTTTGCTTATAAAGAGTCTTAGAACTTATTTAAAGAGTGGCTATATGCGTACTAGTATCAATTTATTGGTACCATGTTTATTTTTAGTTTTTTACTAATAACTCCAAATATTAGTCAAAGTACCATGTTGGCATTTCTCTAAAAAAATCAAAATATTATCATACTAATTAAGTCTATTCAGTCGTGAAAAAAAGTTTAAAATATTTATTAATTGTGCGTGTCAATACATTTTTATTTTTTTAATCATTAAAATAGTTTAAGTAGTTATACTAATTGCGTTGATAAAAAATAATTCATGTCCTTAAAAGTCATTTAACAAGTTATCAGTTGTTTGTAAACAATCATTTAACCAAACACTATTTTACAGACAACTAATCCAATCAGCTAATCAAAATAGCCAACATAATCTAGTGTCATTAATCAGCCAACACAATCAGCCAACGCAATCAGCCAACACCCAATTGCCAATCACCCCCGATATTATTATTCCATCCGACCAATTATAATTGTTCCATTTATCCTTTCTTATCTGTCCATTAAGTTTGTCTTATGTCATATTTGGTTATATTTATGTGGTTGTAATTGATTCTTACTTTATTCACACTTTACCGATTCAATATGGATTCTATAATCATACTTTTCTTAAAAATTGCACCGTCCTTGTCCTAATCTTAGGGGACGAAATTACTGAAGTAGCATTATATGGAGTATTATTGTAAAGTGACATTTTTGGTCCTTCAGTTATTATCTCGGTTATCCGATTATTGTGTCAAAATCATAGCGGATAGACTAAAGTGTAACTTTTGTAAAAGTCAAAGAACTAAATATGGAAAATTTTAAAGAAAGATACCAAAAGTCTCTTCACAATAGTTAGATGACTGAAAAATTCAAAATGAAATGTCAAAAGTGTCATTGACATAATAGTTGATGAACTAAAAACTCTTCTACCTTTAGTCCTTCAACTTTTATGAGATGAACACTTTTACTCATTTTACTATGATCCTGCCACTATAGATGGAACGCTAGAATTATCGTTGAAGAGAAAAGAATGTTACTTTTACAACAGGTCAGGAGATTAAAAGTGAAAAATTTCAAAGACTAGTTATCAAAAGTGTTTCCATCACAATAATCAAAGGATTAAAAGGACAAAAACTAAAAATAGAGTTCCAAAAGTGTCGCTCAAACCATAGTTACATGACTAAAAGTGACAAATCTCAAAATTTCCTAAGAACATTATTATTCATACGAATGGGGTTTGAATTTTATTATTTGTAGTTAAGATTATTGTTGGCTGCTCTGCTGCAGTGCTGCTCATCTAATATTGTTCCTTAAGATTAATTAGGTTTGTAAACCAATGTGACTTTGCATATGAACCTTGCTATATCCATTTGTATTAAGGTATGTGCTAAAACAACCACCTTCCTTCAATCCTTTCCAGGGTCCTATTTGAGGTAAAAATTAGTACATCTTTCCAAAACAGAAGCTATATTTAATTCAACTTTTGTGATATTTACATTAATATTAGCAAATACTACAGAAAGTATTAAGTAGTTAAGACTTAAGAAAGAACATCTAACTTTATCAATAAATAGCAACTAAGAGTCTAAGCTGATAATATTGGACAGTAAGGTTATTAACTAGATGTCATGTATCTTATTCTTGAACAATTAATGAATGTGAAACCATGTGCCATTTATGATCGTGCTGTTATTACATGTGAATGTGCAGCTATTGTAAAGTTGCTGTTGGATCATGATCCAGAACTAAGCAAGACAATAGGTCAATCAAATGCAACTCCTCTTATATCTGCTGCCACAAAAGGTCACGCAGTAGTTGTTAATGAGTTGCTCGCGAAGGATTCCAGTTTGTTAGAGATCGCCAAGTCCAATGGGAAGAACGCGTTACATTTTGCTTCACGCCAGGGGCATGTAGATGTTGTTAAAGCATTGCTCAATAAGGATCCACAACTAGCAAGAAGAACTGATAAGAAAGGGCAAACTGCATTGCATATGGCTGTAAAAGGCACAAGCTGTAAGGTGGTAAGGTTGCTTCTCCAAGCAGATGCAGCCACTGTTATGCTTCCTGACAAGTTTGGTAATACTGCCTTGCATGTTGCCACAAGGAAAAAGAGGGTTGAGGTATTTCACTATTTCTTCACTTCTTGTATTTGTTACTTTTCTTTAGCCGTGAAAAAATGTTTCCATTCATATATGGCCATTAGCTTCATTTTATGGTTACCTGTTGTGTGGTAAAGGGAGGTGTAGGTTTTGACCTAATTCCAAGAACTTATTCCTGCTCCTTCAAATGCACTTAGATGCACAATCATTTCTAAGAAGCACTTGAAGTCATATTTGGAGAAGTAGGTTCCTTTGTAACTTTTTTATTTTGATTCTTGTATGCTATTTCCTAGAATACACTAGCAAATACAAATGTTTGTTCCTATAATGTTATCAAACCTCAAAAGTAAATTCTCTATTTCATTGGAGAAGCTGTTATTTTGATTCAGATTCTAAAGAAGAATCCGATTCAGAATCAATGTCAAACACCTACCCAATATAGCTTCAGTTAGCTGAGAACATCTGCTGTTGGTTGGAGATCAGTTGAGGCCTATAATGTAGACTTTTCCATATTAATAAATCATTGTTCTAAAAAGCGATCGGTTCTAGGTGGATAATATACTACGGCCTGACCTGAGTGTGGTCATGCAGAACAAAGAAGAGATTAGGTGATGTCTATTTGAAAATATGTAAATCAAAGAGCCTTGGCGCCTGGTTACGGTGTTTCTGTGTGACCTAGAGGTCACAGTCTCTTGTCAAAATGACAAGGGAAGGCTTACCCCCTTGCGCACCTTTGTGGTGGAACCCTTCTCTGGCCCTCACCTTGCAGGGACGCCCATGTGCACCGGGTTGCCCTTTTTAGAAGATTAGTACCTAGACAGAGGCTAGACATGTTTAGAGGGAGTTTTTTGGAACATAGATTTAAATATAAGTAACAAGTAATGCTATATACGATTGTGGTAGTTGAGCACCATGCATGCCAATATTTTTTTGATGAAAATGGTCTCTCATGAGTTTCTTTTTTCGTAATTATATATCTATAATAGATAGTGAATGAGCTCTTACTGATCCGTGATACGAATGTCAATGCATTGACAAGAGACAATAAAACAGCACTTGACATAGCAGAAGCGCTCCCTTTTTCAGAAGAGATTGCTGAAATAAAGGAATGCTTAACCCGTTTTGGCGCCATTAGAGCAAACGAACTGAACCAGCCGCGTGATGAGCTTAGGAAAACAGTAACAGAGATAAAAAAAGATGTACACACGCAGCTCGAACAGGCACGCAAGACCAACAAGAACATGAATGGCATCGCCAAGGAGCTCAGGAAGCTCCATAGAGAAGGAATCAACAATGCCACAAATTCAGTCACTGTTGTCGCGGTGTTGTTTGCCACAGTTGCCTTCTCTGCCATTTTCACGGTCCCCGGAGGGGACGATGAGGATGGTAAGGCAATCATGGTGGGGACGCCAGCATTTCAGATTTTTTTCATCTCCAACGCTTTTGCTCTCTTCACATCTTTGGCTGTTGTGGTTGTACAGATCACAGTAGTGAGGCGCGAAATAAAATCCGAAAGAAGGGTTGTCGAGGTGATCAACAAGTTGATGTGGTTAGCCTCAGTCTGCACTACACTAGCATTTGTTTCATCCGCTTACATAGTTGTCGGGAAGCGTAATAGGTGTGCTGCAGTTCTTGTAACAGTTATAGGAGGGGTGATGATGCTTGGGGTTCTTGGTGCAATGACTTACTATGTGGTCAAATCTAAGAGGATTAGGAAAGTAAGGAAAAGACTCAAGTGTTCCAGGAGTGGTGGGAACAGTTCATGGAGATATTCAGATCTTTCTGAGTCAGAAGTTAATTCAATTTATGCTATCTGATTCATGATTTTAGTTAACTCGGCTTGAGTGCTGCTTCTCTCTTTGTTTCTTCTTCCCACTTGAGTAAAAGCTAGAGAAGATCCTAAGAAACCGGTTGTATATAATGGAGTTGCATTGTTGTATATGGACGGACTATTCCACTGGAACTAACACATTTTTTGTTTGCATAAACATGGACTTTTGTATCAAACTTGCCAAATCGAGTACTATTCTTAACTTAAATGTATATAGAAATCTTTTCTAGATCCAAACATGTGGTCTATTTAGGATTTGTAACGTCATTATTCTTTCCTTAAGAAGGCTAAGCGGCTAAGCCATGAAGGGCTGTCGTGCTAAGCCCCTTCATCATTTTTGCATGAATTTATAGCTTTAAGTTGTTAACTAATTTTGGACTATTAATTGACACCGTAAATTCCATGCTATGACCCCTATATAGCTGGGATGAACTGGTGAAGGGGATAATGATGAATGGCGACAATGGTGATGATAGTCTTGCAAGCTGTTAGCTGTATCATGTGAATTTGGCATGCAAAGGGGTATCACACTAGAATACCTTATACCTCATATATAGGCATTTAACATTTGTTGTGTGTTCATCTAGTTTCTATTTAGGATTGCATCCTAAACCCATATGGCCATATGCCATTGATTCTTGTGGGCATTGGGCCATTGGCATATGTATGTAGGATGGTTAGAGACTCAATTAAGGAGGCAGAGCGGTATATTGGGATGGGTCGGTACAGAAAATATTTTTGGAAATTTTTGACACGGTTTATCATTTAACTATGCCCCTGGTTATAAATAACATTCTAATCTTACACTGAAGTTATTTATTCCACATTGGGAGAGAAAAAAATAACTTCACCCCAAAATGTAAATGAACCTGAAGAGAACTAATCGTTTTCCACCCATTTTTATTTCAGCCTTTCCAGGGACACTTTGACTAGCTCATTGACTATTAGTGTAATAAACTATGTATATGTACACAACCTTCAGACTATCTGCTGACTTACGGCCTGGACTTCTGTGGTCAAAAGTACCACATTCTGTATGTCATGCATTCATTCATCTCTTGATAATTAAGTGATGGCAATTTTCTGAGTGAGATAAGACTGTAATGATGGGGGTGGTGATAGATACATATCTTTTGTATTTGTCCTATAAAGACAACATTCATGTCATTCTTGAAATCAATCAATTCAGGCGAGTAATCCAATTGGATTAATCATTTTTCCAGGCTTTGGTTCCACTTCTGCGTGAAGTTAACGAACTTGATTTTTATCTTTTATTTTAGGTATTCTATCTCGTAATGGACAGAGTAGAAGAGCCAAGAGTGCCCAAACAAAATCTGGAAAGCTCATCCCTCACATGCATGGTCTGCATGCAATGTCAACCACAGCCACTCCTTGTGGCTGCAACAACCAGTGGAGCATATTGAACTTGTTTCCATAAACAAAATGCTTAAGTTGATCATTGTATTATTATATCCCAACATCTGAAAATGACAAAAAAGTTTATGAATTGTATGAAGTCTTACAATTGCATTACTCCAAGATGACAAGTTTAGTTAGTCAATTTATTGCTCACTTTAATAATAATATGTTCTTGAACTAAGTTTGTGGTTGGGGAATCGTTTGGGGAAATGCTATCGGAATTCCACCCTAAAAGCTAGATTAACTTGATAGTAACATTCCAAAATTTTATATGTTGATTCACGGGCGGAGCAAGGGGGTCAGGGTGGTCAGCTGAACCTGCTGAAAATTTGAGAGTATAGAGCTCTGAAATATCTTCGATTTGATATATTATGGCTCCCGTAACTCATCACGAGTAAAAAGTTATGAATTCTGGAAAATCAGCACTATCTAAACGTAAAATCAGCAAAATTTGATGCATACTATAAATCATTTTTTCAAATATTTAATAATATGGTATAATTCACTCGATACTTACGTGACACGACTCAAAAACAGAGCATAGACAATCTATCTTATTGCTACGAGTGCCTATTTATCAAAACTGTATATAAAATATTCAACTGAAACGTTGTTTAAAAACGACCCACCATTTTCATTCTGTATATAGGTTCAGTCGACCCCGTGAGCCGTTTTTCTGGCTCCACCACTCTGTGTTGAATTATTATTTCGTGTTTCACCAACATTCCCTCTCAGATCACGATCAACCTTGTCAATTATGTTCGTGCAATTTTTATTCTACTAGTTACTCCACCCGTGCGCTGCACGGGAGTGAGACACCCACATAATAATTTAGATATAGTTTATTTAGATATAATTTAGATAATTTATATATATACAAATAGTTAAAAATATGATTGTGTTAGAATTATTTGAAAACATTATATAAATTCTGAATAAATGGTAAGAACTAAATGTAAAACATCACACGATGAAATGGATGTGCATTTAAGTCCACCACATTAAAACGAAAATTATAAATTACTCTATAGTTTATATTTCTTTGTAAACAACATTCAATGTTGATTTGGTTGGTTTTTCATCTTCGTCATTACAAACTCCAATCCCATGAACTTGTTACTCTCCACACCGCCATGTACAAATGTTTGTGACTAATAATGGGGCGTTAGAGTAAGATAACAACTTTTTTCAACGATTGTCCGTGACTCTTATTAATGGCCATTGCAAACCTAACAATTTTAGGTGGAGAATGCTTAGGCGGGAAAATTTTTTCTCTCTAATATAGTGCTTTTAGGTATAAGATGAAATTACATTTTAGGATTTTAGGATGATGATTTTTTTTTGTGGAAAGTGTAATTGCGTTTTAGGATTTTAGGCGGAGAATGTTTAGGCGGGAGAATTTTTTTCTCTCTAATATAGTGCTTTTAGGTATATGATGAAATTATATTTTAGGATTTTAGGATGATGGTTTTTTTTTTGTGGAAAGTGAAATTACATTTTAGGATTTTAGGCGAAAAATGCTTAGGCGGGAGAATTCTCTCTCCAGTGTAGTGCTTTTAGGTACAGGATGATGATGATATTTTTTTGTAGAAAGTGAAATTACATTTCAGGATTTTAGTCAGAGAATGCTTAGGCGGGATAATTTTCTCTCTCAAGTGTAGTGCTTTTAGGTATAGAATGAAATTACATTTTATGATTTTAGGATTATAGGATGATGATTTTTTTTTGCGGAGAGTGTAATTACATTTTAGGATTTTAGGTGGAGAATGCTTAAGCAGGATAATTTTCTCTCTCCAGTGCAGTGCTTTTAGATATATGATGATGATGATGATGATGATTATAGGATAGGCAGAGAATCCTTAGGCGGAAGAATTTTCTCTCTCCAGTGTAGTGCTTTTAGGTATAATAATATATACGGAGTATATGTTTTTTTTTGTAGAAAGTGAAATTATATTTTAGGATTTTAGGCGGAGAATGCTTAGGTGGAAAAATCTTCTGTCTCTAGTGTAGTGCTTTTAGGTATAGAATGAAATTACATTTTAGGATTTTAGGATTATAGGATGATGTTTTTTTGTGGAAAGTGTAATTACATTTTAGGAATTTAGGTGGAGAATGCTTAGGCGAGAGAATTTTCTCTCTCCACTGTAGTGCTTTTAGGTATATATATATATATATATATATATATATATATATATGATTTTTTTTGCGGAAAGTGAAATTACATTTTAAGATTTTAGGCGGAGAATGCTTAGGCGGGAGAATTTTCTCTCTCTTGTGTAGTGCTTTTAGGTATAGGATGATGATGAATTTTTTTGTGGAAAGTGAAATTACATTTCAGAATTTTAGTCACAGAATGCTTAGGCAGGATAATTTTCTCTCTCCAGTGTAGTGTTTTTAGGTATAGAACGAAATTACATTTTATGATTTTAGGATTATAGGATGATGATTTTTTTTTTGCGGAGATTGTAATTACATTTTAGGATTTTAGGTGGAGAATGCTTACACTGGAGAATTTTCTCTCTCCAGTGTAGTGCTTTTAGGTATAGGATGATGATGAAGTTTTTTTGTGGAAAGTGAAATTACATTTCAGAATTTTAGTCACAGAATGCTTAGGTGGGATAATTTTCTCTCTTCAGTGTAGTGCTTTTAGGTATAGGATAGGATAGACAGAGAATCCTTAGGCGTGTGAATTTTCTCTCTCCAGTGTAGTGCTTTTAAGTATATGTTTTTTTTGTGTAAAGTGAAATTATATTTTAGGATTTTAAGTGGATAATGCTTAGGCGGAAAAATCTTCTTTCTCTAGTGAAGTGCTTTTAGGTATATGATCGATTTTCTTTTTGCGAAAAGTGAAATTACATTTTAGGAATTAGGCGGAGGATGCTTAGGCGGGACAATTTTTTTCTTTCCAGTGTAGTGCTTTTAGGTATATGATGATTTTTTTTGCGGAAAGTGAAATTACATTTTAGGATTTTAGGCGGAAAATGCTTAGGCGGGAGAATTTTCTCTCTCCAGTGTAGTGATTTTAGGTATAGGATTTTCATCCATCCATTCGTCCTCGTATTCGCCAAGCCTTCATTTTCGTCATACTTATCTTCATTTTTCTTTTTAATAAGGACCCACGTACACTATTGCAATTTACAATTTGTATTTGATATCATATTACTACTTTGAAATTCTGTTTTAAACTGTTAAACCTATAAGAATAATACCTCAAAATTTCATATTTTGATTTGTTATTCCATGAAGTGAGGTTGTGTGATTTATCTTCCCTTTGGTCCTAGCTAGTGTTGTTGCATGCACATATCCTTTTCTGTTTAGATGTACAGTGTACCTTTATTTCATACTAGCTCCTGTTAGGACGTGTCCACTGTATGGGCAAACAGTACCATGTTCTCAAGAATCTGAAAAGTAGTAAACCTTTGCCATATAAATTGGACTATAATCCCAATCTGACAGATAAAGAGTGAGGTTCTGTTCTCGATACTTGCAGAGGCCCTATTTAGCATAGTCATCTCTCATCGCAGTTGTCGGGATTCGAATCCGGGACCTAACCCTTGTGACACTCTCTTCCTACCAGTTGGGCTACGCCCACCGGTGTAGTAAACCATTGGCTTGAATTCACAGGCTGATCTTCAAACAAGCACAAAGACTACTCGATCTTATGTGTCATGGGGCATATGGAAAAGGAAGATATAAGTGAATCTTAATTATGGATTACTTTTCTACTCTCTTTTTTCTTAGGTTGAGACTAATTTAGTAAAGATGGATATGGTAAGGATTGACTAATTTAGTAAGACATTGTTAAT